GGGCAGGAGAACCATCATGCACCAGCACCCCTCTCTTTGCAAGATCAAGAAGGTAAGGGAAGAGTAAAGCTGACTTCACGGAGTATTTCAGGAGGTGGCCCCTCGTTTGTCCTGCCCTGTCTTCTTCAGCAGGAGGCTTTGCAGAGGGTCTGGAGACCACCTAAGTTCTCCATAGGTAGAATGGGGTGGCCTGGTAGTTAAATTTGGGTCAGAAGTTCTGCATCCTTGCTGGATACGATTTCAGGCTCCAAGGCTTAATTTGAAGCAGCACTCTCCAAAGCAGAGGAATGAATACGTAGGCTCACCCCAGAAATATAACAAGAGGACTCTGTTTTTCATGGTTTCATTTTTATCCTGCCACCTGGGCAGTGTAAGTGGATCTCATTTTATTCTTGCAACAACTCTGTGAAAATGGTTGCCTGGTGGACTGAGGAGTGGGCAACAGAATCTCCTGTTGGTTTGGCCTTCTGTGCCCAGGAGCCCAGCCAGCCAAGCACAGCCAAAGTTGGAGGTCTACCTTCTGCCCACCCTTAACTGAAAAATCAACCACTCCTATCATCACCTGTCTATTTGTAAATGAACACAAACTTCATAAAAAGCCAGCCTCTGGTGACTTCCTTCCAAAGGCGTGTAAGTGCTGTCAGAAAAGTGGGATGCTTGTAACCATATGTTTTAACTGATACATATATTATTATGTATGGCACATTTGTGCTTCTGTATACCAGATTCTTGCAAAGAACAACAACAGAGCAAGCAAAGGAAGCAAACAACTTGCAAGGATGGATTTAGACTTGGAACAGGGCATGGAGCGTTTTTAATGGCTCTGCCTATTGCCCACTAACACTGTCTCCCCCAAAAGCAGTTTGCTTGTTACTTCGTTTTTACTGCCTCAGGTTGCAAGAACTTAGTCCAGAATGTGGAACCTCCAGATTCCATGGGAAATGGAAACACTGGCCCATGGACTGGAGATTCTGGTCCAGGGACACAGGGATGCTGGCTTGTGGGGCTAATGTGGACATGGAGGTTAAGTGTCTAGCCTGGAGAGTCCTCTCGTGGGCAGGACATGCCCTCCAGATGGCAGTGGGGCCATTGGCAGCAAATGGCTGGAGTCAGGAGGAGCAGCTGTCCTTCCTAGCGCAGCTAAGCACCTTCAGAACACACACCTTCATGAAGCCAGGGACTCTGCCAGCAGTTCCCTCTCTCTGTCAACATGGGGTGGGACCAATATCTCAGTGGATATTGGCCATGGGCATTGACATCATTGGACTTGCAAAGGCCCAATGGGAAAATTCACTCCCCTCCCGACACACCAAGTTGGGGAGCTGTAAAGGGTGGGAGGTAGATCCTAGGGATAAAGACAAAAACATCTTGATACCCCTGCACTGGAACGGAGATATAAAAGTCTGTAGTGAATTCTGTTAGGGATAGGTAACAGAGATCATTTTGGATTGGAGCAGACATTTACAATTAGCACTGATGGATTGCTGGGCAAAAGAGAGAAATAAAAATAAAAGGACATTCTTTCATTGTTTCTTTTTGTGCTGATATATATACACTTCTTTCCAAACTATTCTTATTCCATTCCAAAGCATTCGCTCATTGTGTTATCTTTTTTCAAGAGAACAAAAGGGGCAGAATGGTAAGTTTGCTTTGGTTTTTCCCCCCCTGCTCCTGAAGCAATCTTTTTCTTGCCAGCAAAGTGTAACAGAGATTTATTTGTATCTCTAGGGCTCAGAAATATAATGCTGAAACGCATTTTTTTGCTCTGGAACGCACATAAAAGGTAGGTTTTAAACAAAGCAAAAACAACTAAGAAAAGAAGCACCAAGGCTTTTATTACATGGAGAGCTACTTATCATGATAGATCAGTTTTATTTTATTTTTTAAATTACTTCTGCTTTTGCCAATGGTGGTGATGGGGGAAAACTTTAAGCTTTGTTCCTGCACATAATGGCACAAGAAGTATATCCACTGTAGGAGTAAATGTACGAACAAACAGAAAAGACTGCAGTGTTGCAGCTTAATCCTGTGCATGTTTACTCAGAAGTAGACTGAGCTCACTGTGTTCAGCTGGGCTTATTCCCCAGTAATTGTGCATGAGATTGCAGGCTAAGCTTTTGATCTTTAAAACATCACATATATGCATGCAAACACGCCCACACCCTTCAGCAGTCAAAACCCGAACGCTTCAAGAACAAACACTGACACACCCACACAATACGCACACATGCACCAACTGCTGTATTAACAGATGCCATATATTTGGGAGAAATATTATTCATGTGCGCTTTCCGTTCTGTTTATGTGTCTTTTCTATATCACTTAGTTTAGGATTAAAACATTGGCTGGGTTTACATGCCACAACATGCAACTCTGTGGTTTCCATGGTGCATCTTTTTGCTTGGATGTGCCTGACAGTGAAGTGGTTTATATGAGTGTGGTTTCCCTTCTCCTCAGTTCTCCCACTGTGGATATGCATCCCATCAGCCACTGTACCTGAAATTACAGGTACAGTGTAATGAAAGCAACTTGTACAGTTGCGGCTCTTTCCAGGGGACTCTGCTCTGTGGTAGCCACATACCAGAACTGTGGAGACGATCATTCCATGTTCAGACAACCAGATAAACCATGGTGAAACATGGAAACCACAGAACAGCCCATTGTTTCTTATTGCCACTTTTGAAAACTACACTTATCCTGCTGAAATACCATGACAGGGTTCAGAAGACATGATGTGAAGGGCCAGCGAGGCTCACCAGTTCCGAGCACCCAGGTGCACAGGGGCTTTTCCCAACTTTTCCCCTGAGGGGGATGAGGACAAGATGGCGGCAGCAAGATAAAGGGAAGAGCAAGGAAAGGGAGGGGACGGTGTGGAGAGAGAGGGAAGCGGCAGCAGGAAGACAGAGGCGGTAGGCAAGCAAGACTTGGGGGGCAGGAAAGGAGCTTAACCCCCACAGTCTGGGGCAGAGGTAGGGTCTAAGGGTGAACGCAACCCTCCCTCCCTCCCTGGGAAGAGGAGTCTCAGCAAGGGAGAGGCAGAGCCTGTGGAGAACTGGCGGAGGGGAGAAGCGTTGTCCTGCTGTGTGTGCCCATGGGAAGGACCCTGTTGAGAGGCGGATTGCCAGCGTGAAAGCATGTTTCAGAACCGGGTGATGGTGACTTTTCAGATGAGGATGGTGAACAGTGGGAGAGGAGGCCTGCAGACACAGAGAGAATGGAGGAGGGAAAGCTTCTCTCATGGTCACCATCTCTGGGTTTCAGACAGGCTCTGGAAGTAACAGGAGGGGACAAGGGAGAGGAGTCGGAGGAGCCTGTTCCGACTGTTGAACCCATGTCGGAGTGTCAGGAGAGAAGGGCTAGCCAACGAGAGGGCCTGCGCACAGCCAGGAGGCATGCCTGTCTCCAGAGAGGCACTCCCAGGGGGATGGGGTCCAGGGTTACTCAAAATGAGGGTTCTTGGGTTTCTAGTTTGGGTTCAACGAATCACTCTGTGCATGGCCAAAGTCTCTTTCTTTGCTGGCTATATCTTGTTGGATGCACAGTGGATATAGAGAGCTTTTGCCAATGGTCTGTTGTCTGAAAGCAAGAAGGGGGAACCTAGCTCCCGACAATATGGAATGCAGTAAAAGTTACTTCCGGGACCGCACTGTGGGACATCACAGGATGTTTATTATTCTAGACTAGACTTCCCTATCCTGGTGCCCTCCAGTTGTATTGGACTACAATTCCTAGCATCCCCCAGCCAATCAGCCATGGTCCAACATGTGGAAGGTCTCAGGTTGGGGAAAGATTCAGAGGATAGCAATAAGAAGACCTTCTCAGTGGTGGCCCCCTAACTATGGGATACTCTCCGTCATGGCATCCGCCTGGTGACAATGTTTTCTTCTTTTCAACCTTCCTCTTTGGTGGCATACGGTAGGCTTTTTAACAGGTCCTGGGGTTTCTTACTGCTGATTGTCACCATTGTTTCATATTGTGCATGTAAAAAGTTTTTAATATATATAATGTAACTATATCGTACTTTTAAGGCTTTAACTTTTGTAAACTGTCCAGAGAGCTTTGGCTGTTCGGCAGCACAGAAATGTAATAAGAGAAATGACAGTCAGTGATTGGCATTGGCAGTGCTCCCCTTTAGGACTGCATTCGGAGGCAGGTAAATATGTATCCATCAGATCATTCAAATTAAGCAACTGCATTTCTGGAAGCTGTGGCCTGAATTAAAGAGGGCCGCTTCCCGCATTACATGCATCATTAAACATATTCGTAGGCAAGTCAGAAACAAGACAGCGTTTCAGGACACGGCTTATACAAGCAGCCTCCTCCGAGTAAGCGGGCTTCGGGAGCAGAGACACAAATCTGAGCTTCCACGAGGGGAATGTTTTGGGGATGGCCGACCACCAAGGACGCTGGCAATCCAGCACTGGTGCTGGGAGCCAGTGCGGTCGATTCAGTGCATTTCTGTTTCTTCATACGGAGCCCCAGATGTGCATACCAACCCTTAAGAACTGCCGTGCCACAGTGAAATGGAGGGAGAAACTGAACCTATAGTCTGTGGGGTAGAGGTCACTTCTGAACTGCAGGGTCTCATAAGGAGAGTCCTCCAGCCCCTCCCTTGAGGGGAGTCCAAAAGCTCTGGCAGCCATGTCAGTCCTTATCAATAAACTGGTTCTAGGCATTTTGTAAAGTTAATTGGACTCAGGAGTCAATCTGATGCATGTTTAGGCAGAAGAATGTTCTACAGCTTTTCAGCCAGCCTTAAAATTCAGAGGATTCTGGGCATCCAATGGAGGGTGGAAAGAGTGTGAAGGGAAGGGCGGCCTTCTGGGTGGATGGTGCACTGTATCCCAGCAGTGCCTCTTTCTTCCCGGAACACCCTCCTTCAGGGCTGGCTCCAAGCAAAATTAATCAAAATAAAATACGAAAGAGCCATTTCCCCCCATTGGCAATATGACAGTGCTGGAAGAAAACTGAAAACTCTATAAGGAGGCATTTTGCATTACCTGGGTGTGTAGGTTAATGGAGGACTGGTTTGGGGAGTAAGGCCCCCCCAGGTCATTCCTGAGTAGGTTGTCACTGTGCATCTTAGTTTTGAGGCAGGTGATGTAACGATTACAAAAGTCCTTGCACAATTCATTCACCTTCTCCAACTCCAGCAGATGAATTCTCAGGACCTGGATTGCTTTCACCATCTGGGGATGACAAAATGAGGAGCAGAGGTCAGTCTAGTTCTAGAAAATATTATTTTTGGTCATTGCATCCACAAGGTAAGCTGTGGCTTTAATTAATTAATCAGATTAATCAGTTTTTTTTCACATTTTATTTGAATAAAAATTGCCCCTGATTAATTGACTAGGAAATTTTATTTTTTAAGGAATTATTATTTAAAAAACAAAAACGGATAGAAACTGCAGTTGCTATGCAGCATGTTAAATGAGGGGTTGAGGGCACCCCTCTCTTGTGAGGAAGAAGGAACACCTCTTCTACAATGATATTAAAAGAAGCATCTTCTCCCATGTGTGAGAAGAGAAATTCTAACAAGGCATTAAAGAAGGTTTTCCTCCATCTGAGAGAAAGAGATTGCTTGTTCTAAAAAGAAGTCCAGTCAGCTTCTCATCTAATACTGTGGCCAAGATCTGCACAGTGCGTTTTGTGAACTACACATCTAGATTTGTGTCTAAAGGGCAGCTCCGGACTTGAGGTTCTTTAACAACAGTCTCTCTGTGTCTCTCAGCAAACCACATTTCAAACAGAGGGATCCTTGTGCTATGGGACTGGTTCTGCTGCCCAAAATCAACAAACCCACTGGACAACCCCAAGCGTTTGGATTCCAGCTAACATATCCACAAGAGCAGCATATCTGTGAACAATACGTGTGATCTGAAGAGTCACAGATATAGTCAAGGCTAGCATCCACAATCACTTACTTGTTCCAACTGTGATAGCTGCTGCTATCGATGACCGACTTGTTCACACCCCTTTTAATGCAAAATTTATGGAGATATGAATACGTGGACTGTGAGGTGGCATCTCTTGGCCGTGGGTCTCTTCTTCACAGGTGCACTGACTGTGTCTGCAGCATTAGTTGAATGCCCAGAAGAGGGTTTGGAGGCTGGGGTCAGCAGGGCTAACCCTGTTCCTAGTCCACAAGTTTTATCATCAAAGCATGTACTGTCCATGTGAGTTGGCTAAGACTACTTGTGTGAACAAGACATTCAGTATTTGAATGGGCACTAAGAGGTCTCAGAGGAACAACATGAATCAACCACATCAACTACAGATGTCAGTTCAGTCACAGGGTGGACATTCTCCTCTCAGTTGCTTCCAGACACCAGCCCAAATCAGATGAAACAGGAAAACATGCGAAAGGAAACAGAAAGCAGCCACTTCCAGTTTTATAATACATGAACTTCCCCAAGATATCTGGGCTTGTAGAACTGTGATTTGTTTAACTCTGGTCAGTGTGAAAAAGCCAGGATCAAACGGTGCTTACAGATCCCAGCTTCTTCTAAAACTGTCACTTAATCAAACCTTAGTTTTCTGGATTCAGACGATTAAGGGAAATGTTTGCAGTGGATATTTCCAATTTCCTGCAAACACAAGAGTAGAAAAGATGGTAGTGTGATGCAACGATCTCCACAGCTCACCTGTGTAGCAGGAGACCATGGCTTTCCGCAGTAGCTTAAGAAAGCTACCATGGCATCTCCCTGTATCAATCCGCAGGCCAACTCCATCCCGCCTGGAATCCCCAGAGGGGCACACGGCACCTGCTGACTCCAGCCCTTTCTCTGACTGTTTGTGGCCTCCTAGCTTTAATGCAGTTCAATCCCATTCAGGAAGGTTGAAATGCTTCTCCTAAGGCTGTCTTACCGGCAGCAAGGGGTTTAAATTAAAGCAGGGCAGTACTTTTGGCATGTTATCTTCAGCCCCTTAGCCTCAGTCCACTCCACCACTGGAACCCAGCCTCTGAGTGCTTCTCCAAAATGGAATTTGGCCCTTGGGCTCAAAGAAGTCTGACACTCTTGTCCTACCTAATGGATGTTTCTATCACCTAGACAGGTTGAAGTACCAAAAGCCCATTTGCAAAATGTGATGCCGCATTCTTGGCTTGCTTTTGGGATCCAGTTAGAAGTGCTTTATGTAAAAGTGTGCCTGATTATTCTCAGCTGGCCTCTCTTCCTAACGAGATTGGAGAGTGGAAACACGCCTGTAAGCTCTCCCTTGAGCAAAGTCTTGGCCTCAGTAAAATATCTCCCATAAATGTTAAAAAATTTACACATAAAACATACCATGCATGGAACTGAGACCTTACATTTTACTGCCCTGGCCTGAAATCTTAAAGAATATATAAAATCTCAGCTATTCACTACAGGGCAATAAATCAGGTTCTTTTATGGAACAAAAGAGTCTTTAAATTTCAAAGCACTTTTTCAACTTGCTAATTTTAGTGGCCACTTTTTACAAACTATTAGTCACAGGCTGCTCCTGGGTAAGATGACTATGCAAATCTACACAGGTTTGCCCTCTAGTCTGCTAAGAAGCTGGCACAGAAATGAGTAGGGAAAGACTGATTTGGACACATGGTCCAAACAGAGAAGGCAGTGCTTACTTTTTGCAGGCAGATGCCTATGTACCCAGGGATATCAGCAGGGACAGATCCATTCTTGGGGCTGGGGGATGCACTGAACTGCCACTGCAGTCTTAGCCTGTTCTCTCTTGATTTTGTGAACTTAGCATGCCATGATTATGCAATCCAAGTTCTTTCTCCTGCAGTAATTCATGAATTTAGCATGGCCTCAGTTTGCCCATGTGAAGCAGGCTTGTTGTGCTCCCATCCTGTTTACTTTCAGTCTTGGAGAAGAGGGCTCTGCCATAAGTTGCTTTCTCCATAAGCTACTCTTGTCCTATCTAATGGATGCTTCTATCTAGTACTAGTAGAGCCAGAAAGAATGAAGTGACTGGGTCAAAGCCGAAAGGACACTCAGTTGCAGATGTATCTGGTGGTGAAAGGAAAGTCCGATGCTGTCAAGAGCTTAAATGGATTCTGGGGGATGGTGGAGGACAGGAAGGCCTGGAGGAATGTTGTCCATAGGGTCGCAATGGGTTGGTTGCGACTCGCAACTAACAACAATCCCCTAGACAGGTTGAAGTACCTAGGTGAAATTGCTTGAAGTGGAGAGTTGTTGGGTTGAACTGTGTAGCAAAAGTGTGTGTGGCTTATGGAGCAAAACAGTTGTCCTTGGTTCACCCCCCCACTGACCACCTTCACTCCACCTCCAGTGGACACCTTTCCACCCCACCAGCCTCCACTGAACAGCACCTCTGAAGCGTGATGCGTCTGTAGTGAGGAGAGGTAGGAAGACTCCCCCCTCTAAAGGCCTTCCTGATCAGATCACAAATAAGGAAGGAGAACAGGGCAGAGGTGAGGGCGGGGATGGTTTGTAAACTCATCAAGAAAATGTTTAATCAGAAGGCAAACAGGTGAGTTCCTCTTGCCTCCGCATCCCCTTGGGAAGATTCTTGGCAGCAAAGTGGTGACCCCACCACCAAATGCAGTTGCAACGGCATCTTGGATCCTTCAACGCAAGCATCCACGTGCCATTGCGCCCTGCCGTGTCCGCAGGACAAAGGAAGAAATGGAGCTGGACAGGAGAGGTTGCGAGGATGTTTCTGGGCAGCGCGCAGGAGCAGTGTTGTTCACCAAAGGCATGCAAGCACGGCAGGTGGAGGGAGGCTGAGGGACTCGGGGGAAAGCTGGGAGCGGAGACCTCACAGTCATAAGCCTGCTGTAAGACGCATTTGTGAAGGCTTGTAGCTTATCCGATCCTTGACCGCACTGCACAGTTCAGTGCATTCACACAAGATGGAATCGCTGCATGAATACTATAATCTTTTTGAATATTTGAATTTTATCTGTCTTATTTGTTTTTTCCTAAATGTACCATGGGTGGACCACTGCAGCATTCCTAGTATGTCGTGGCAGCCTTCATCCTATCCTACCTTGCAAGGTTGGTGTGAGGAAGAACTGGGAGTGGTGGGGAAAGAGCACCGAATGCCACCTTGAACACCTTGGTGGAAGTATTAGCTTCAAAAAAGCACTAATTACAACACACAAAGTATAACACAGGTTCTCGGATAATATTCGATCAGCCCAGTGTGTCCATCCAGCAGCCGCCCTCCTGAAAGTCAGTATTCAAGGGCAAAGGCACGAAAACTTGACATATACATGTGTGTGTGTGTGTGTGTGTGTGTGTGTGTGTGTAAAATAAATCTCTCAATTATCTCAGCTCATTTGCTTGGGGTCTCTCATTTTATGTCCCTGCTTCGCTGAGCAGTATATCTGTCCGGATAAAGAGTTACAGTCCGATGGAATACGTGCGCAGGGTTGTAAAAAATACAGATGCTGAATTAATTGACTGTGTGGCACTCAGCAGCTGATTGAGTTGATAATGGCGAGATCTGACCTTTTTCTAATTTCTAATTATGTGCATCTCGCCTGTGAGGAATACATGATTCTTATTCTAATGATGGTTAATGTCGCTGGCCTTTTCATCTCCTCTTTGCCATCAGCAGTGGTGGACAATTTACATAGGATTAGTAGCATTAGAATCACACAGATACAACAAACAAACTTCGGGGTGTGGGAAGTTATTCGTTTGGGAAGGTCTGTGCATGCTTCTGGCAGACCCACTCCTTGGAAGAGTCTCACCAAGCCACCATGGTCAGGAAGAAGGAAGCCCACGAGAGTAACTAAGAGGCACTCACACGTTTCCCTGGGAGTAAATCCCATTGAGGTCAGCAGGACTTAATTCTGAGTAGATCTGTGGATCGCTTTGGTGCAACCGATGCACTGCTGCCTCTGGGCTTTTGAGGCCCCGGGCAAGAAACCCTGAGTGGAACCCTCACGGCAGGCCCCGAATTCCCTGGCTGCGGCAGCACGAGCAAAGCTCACTAGGTGTGCCCACCAGGCGGGTGAGCACCCAGGTCAGTCTGCCCTCGAGAGGGAGGTGCTCTGGAAAGCCCTCTCCCCCTTTAATGCAGGGAGAGCAGAGCCGATGGGATTCTGTGGAGCTGCAGCCCAGCACTGCTGGAATAGGCGCTCCAGGGAGCCCTCCTGCCTCCTTCTTCCCTGGCAGCCAGTGGAAGCCTGGTGGGCAGGACTCCCTGGAATGGGTGCATGGCCAGTAGGGCT